ATTAAAAAAAAAAAAAGATGCCTGGACATTACCCAGTGATGCTTGCAAGCAGTTATGGGTATATTTGGCGGCCTTCACACCCTAATTAGGAAGTGACGAGGAGGCATCTGGTCCTCCCTGGGTGATGTTTCTTATCAGCTCTGGGCAGCAGAGCGAAGTTGTCACTCATGAAGTCTGAAAAGAGGAAAGATCAAATTAGCATCTATACCAGCCACACCCAGATCTGCCCTGCCAAATATACTCTACCCGCCCAAACACACACTCCACCAAAACATCCACCCTTCACGAAGCGACATTCCTCATTATGTATACTATTATAAGTGCATTTTAGCATCTATGAACACATATCTAGATTCCCTCCTACCCTCAAACATCAGAGCACACAACACACTGAAGTGTATACTCATTCAGATATATATGCCACCCTCCCTATCCACACTGAGACACACACACACACGTACACACACCCACTCCTATAAGAACTACACACTGCACGGGGTGGGAGTGAGCTGATGTCCTCTGTCTAGAACACCTCAGCCCAGCCTCTGCCAGCAGATCGGCTTTGCTCAACCTCAGGGTTCCACGTGTGGTCTGGAAACTGAGAGGTAACCTTGGCAACCAAGCCAAGGCCTTGAAGGCCTAACAGGACACCGGGAAAGACAAGAGTCCTGCACAATGAACTGGCTGCTCCTGACTGGGGAGTGGAGCGACAGGCCTGTGTCCTGACCCCACAGACAAGGCCATGCTGAGGCCTAAGGAGAAGGGACCCCATCAGGGGCATCGGGGTGGGGGGAGGATGTGATCTGAAGAAGGCAGTGTTGGATGCTGTGTGTCACTTTACAGTAGGCCACATAGGTGCCCCATACCAGTGGGCATCCAGGACCAGGGGGGTCGGTTGGTTGGGATCACATGGCACTGGAGTTCCTGGTCCAGATGAGACATAAACTGATGTCCACCCGCACCCCCACCACTACCTGCCCGCTTGACAATGGGTGGAGTCACAGGTTAGCACAGTGTGTCAGGACATTTCATGTTCAAAATCCAACCCAAGGCCCTTGGGTGGGGAGGAATGAAATGAATGAAGAGGGAGAGAAGTAGGAAGAAGAGAGGGGAGAGGGAGAGACCCATTGTCTTTATCCTGATACTCATATTATACCTTGATCATGCCCAGGAAAGAGAGGCGGCAGGCAACATGCAAAGGGAAAAAGTGAAGTCTGGAGTTTTGAGCTCCTAAGGATCCTGGTCCCAGCAACTGAAGGGCAACTTCAGGAAATTTAAAGAAAAAATTGGGCTACTATAATGTATTTGCCCTTATAAGAAACTGATTGACAGGGTGCCTGGGTGTCTTGGTGCCTGAGTGGCTCAGGTGGTTAAGCATCCAACTCTTGGTTTTGGCTCAGGTCATGATCTTGTGGTTTGTGGGATCAAGCCCCTCATCGGGTTCCTCACTGAACGTGAAGCCTTCTTGGGATTCTCTCTCTCTCCTTCTCCCCCTCTCACTCTCTCTCTTTCTTTCTCTCTCTCAAAATAAATAAATAAACTTAAAAAAAAAAAACAAAAAACATGGAAACTGACTGAGAATCCAAATCCTGAGTTGGTCACAACTACACTGTACAGTGACTTGAAAACTTTGAATGTGGGATAAATAAGCCCCCTCTCCCTAGGCTTGTGAGTAGAAAGAAAAGAGAAGAGGAAAGTAGGGTGCATGCCTTCTGGTTCTTACTGATGCTCTACAGAAAGCACAGGAAGTAATCACCAATGAGGAGGCTAAGACGCACCCGGGCAATGCAGACAGTTTGCGCCACCCTGTTGCACCGTCCTCTGGGGTAACAGCTCTGTGGGACCACGTGAAACTGCCGGCCATTCCTCTGTAACAACCCCACAGGGATGCCACCGGCCAGTGAAAAGGGCACCGTATTTGAAGTCAACAGATCTGGTCCTGGCTCTATTAAGAACTAGCTGTGTGACCTGGTGAGTGATACAAAAATCTACATAAGGACAGAGTTTTACTTCCTAAGGCAAAAACAAAACAAAAACAAAAAAAAAGCAAAACAAAACCCCAAACAAAAAAACCCACAAACATACACACACACCAAAGAAAACACAAAAAACAGGTGGTCTGTCACAATACTTTTTTCCCACCAGTTCTAGATAAAATCAAGACCAAGAACACCCAACCACTGTCAAAGACACACCCAGGAAGATGTTAAGTATTTTCAGATTTAGGTGCTGAACCCCCCTGTACACCTGTCTATACTTTGACCCACTTCCCCTACTTCCCTGGTGGTGGACCTTGGACGGTTCTGGTCTGGCCGACACCTGGTCTCTCTAGATGGTTGCAGTAGAGGTCATCCTGTTTCCACTGCCAACCCCGTTTTCTGTAACAGAGCGTTTTCCTCTCGGCGAGCAGAGGTGAGGGTCTCATCTGGCCCAATCCAGCTTTGGGGAGGAGCTGGTGAAGGGGCCATCTAAGAGATGTGTTTCACGACACCTTCACGAGCCACATGGAGCATTGGAGTAGAATATTTGCAGTCTAAACTGTCCTGGACAAATGAGTATAGTAACTTGTTTTCTAGCAGCCTGCAGGCTGTTGTTGAGATAAGATGTCAACCTCTAAAAATATCACTAATAACACCAAACCGTAGATTATAAATGCCACATTAATGGTATGGACCACATTAATTCTGTAGTAGGAGAATGGTCAGTGCGGGTTTTTGGAGCGGAAGACCAAGCTTCAACTGTGCCTTCAGGAGTGTGGGAATTTGGGAGAGGTGAGAAGGAGGCAGTGAGGTGCCCAGGGCATAATGGCATGAGCCACAGTGCAGCACAGCCTGGCACATTCAGGCATACCTGGAACGGGGACCATGTTTCAGGGGCTGGGGATCATGGGCAAAATGTTGGGGGCTCTGGGCTGCACGGCCTGATGCTTAGAGAACAGTGAGGAGGATAACCCTGGAGCACAAAGTGGCAAAAACCTAAAAAGGTAGACAAGGCCACATTATGAAAGGTCTTAATATTAGGCAAAGGAGTCCAGAAAGACGGGGGTGGAGGGTGTCTCAGAATGATCTGAGCAAAAGAGCAAGCGAATGCAGACCTGTAGGAATTCAGCCCTGCTAACAGCAGGAAGGGTAGTTTGGGGATGGAATTTGACCAGTCAACTGCAATCAACTGGATATGAAGAACCAACAGATCTTGGGGCCAGGTCTGAGGAGCCAAGTACAAGAAGAAGTCAAAAGTGAGTGTGAGTTTTCAGGGTGGAGTGCCTGGGGAAGGGAAGGCATCTCTGACAGAAATGGACATCAGGAAGGGCGCTGGAGAAGACAGTGGGCTTAGACTGACACTGAGGTGGTGGCTGGACACCCACCGGGCAGGACAGAGCAGGTGGGGGGAGCAGCAGATGAAAGGACACCGGAACACACTATTCAGATTCGAAAGTCAATTGTGAAAAAGTAAGCAGAGTGGACAACACGAATAGGGTTTCTCTGAGGAAGGCAAGTGGAGAGAGAGAACAGGGAGAGGTTTGAGGCGACAGAGAGAGGGAACAGGGCCAGGATGGGATCCAGGGCAGACACAGCAGGGGAAGGAGGCTGAGAAGCCTGGTGCTAGGTGCCTGCGAAAAGTTGGAGGAAGTGCCTCTGGAGGTGGTCTGCAGGGCCCAGAGGCCACGGAAAGTAAGAATTTACAGAGGCCACTGGGTTTGACTCACTTAGCAAATATACAAGGGACATTGCAAATATACACGGGACATCAACATATGCCAGACCCCAGGATGTGGGCTCCAAGTTCTCTCCTCATTCAGCGGACTTCTGCTCAGCACCTGTGACCGTGGCCAGGTCCTGAGCACAGTCCTGCATGTGGACCGCGGGCACTGAGGCTGGATTCTTTCCCGCAGGAGCAGGAGGCGGTGTTTACAAAAGCTTCAATCCACAAGGAGGAAGGACGTGAGGGAGGGCTGGGGAGAGAGGGGAGGAGGAGGAAGAGGGAGTGGATAGGAAAACATGTGCAGTTGAGAGCAGGGCATTTATTCAAAAATTTTCGCATTCAGAGGAAGGTGAGACTAGAAAAATAACTCGAGGGACGAGAAAAGTCTTGCCAACACCGCTCCCACCCTCACCCCTCCAACAGGTAAGACTTGCTTGCTAGCAGGCAACAGAAAAGGCATCGGTGTAGAGGAAGGGCAGAACGTCTGGGGGAGACGGGCTTACTGCCGAAGTAAATAGAAGACTTAATCTCTGGGGCGCCTGGGTGGCTTAGTCGGTTAAGCGTCCGGCTTTCGCTTAGGTCATGATCTCGCGGTTCGTGGGTTCTAGCCCCGCATCGGGCTCTGTGCTGACTGCCAGCTCAGAGCCTGGAGCCTGTTTCAGTCTGTGACTCCCTCTCTCTCTGGCCCTCCCCTGCTCACGCTGTCTCTCTCTCTCTCTCTCCTAGAAATAAACAAAACATTAAAAAAAAAAAAAAAAAAAAAAAAGAAGACTTAATCTCTATTGCCGAGAGAAACCTATTGAACAAACTCGGCAAAGCGATAAAAGGGTGACAAAGCGTCCGAGTGAATGGGTCTGACAGTGGGCGCTGTAAGACGTGGGAGCCAGAAAAGGGACCGCGTGGGCGACGTGGTATCAGTAGAGGCTTCTTGGAGGAGGTGGCCGCTGACCTAGAAGGACCGGCAGAGAGGAGAGGAGGTCCAGGCATTCTGGCCGCGAACTGGGCGCAGCACTCCTCCGCGGAGAGGCTTTGGCCCCTCCCAGGCTCCCCTTTTTCTCCCCGCGCCACCCTCGGCCCGCAAGTCGGGCTCAGGTTCCCAGCACTGACGTCAGCTGGCGATGACCTCAGCGCAGGGGCGGGGGCGGGGGCGGGGGCGGGGGCTAGCGGCCGGCTCGGCCCCCGGAGCGCGCGGGGCGGGGCCAGGTGGGCGTCCGGCCCCGCCCCCATCCGCTGGCAGTAGCCAATGGGCGCCGGCGCGGGCTCCCCCGCCTCTCGGGATCCTATGAAAGGAGCGTCCCGGGTAAAGTCCCGGCAGAGCCTGAGCAGCGGCCCCGCGAACCGAGGAAGCTTGAGAAGCGGCACGTCCCACCGGAGACCTCTTGCTGCTTCCCGCCGCTGCCACCGCCTCCTGAGCCGAGGAAGACATGAGCCAGGCCCGCTGGACCGGGAAGAGATCAGACATGCTGCCGGAGATCGCCGCCGCCGTGGGCTTCCTCTCCAGCCTCCTGAGAACCCGGGGCTGCGTGAGCGAACAGAGACTAAAGGTTTTCAGCGGGGCTCTCCAGGAGGCACTCACAGGTGAGCTCACGCCGAGGATCCTGGCGTCCGTCGAGCCCTGCTGCTGGGGCTCGGCCCCCCTTCCTGCTTTGATCGTCTTTCCTCTGCTCCCAGAGCAGGGCTCCGTTCACGAGCTGCTCCCGGACTCGGTTTCCCTCCAGCCCCCACGGGCAACCCGCAGTCCCCTCCCCCCCACCCCCCCCATTCCCCTGGGTCTGCGCTGGGGTCTCGGTCCGTGTCCGCTCCGGTCGGGCGCGTTCGAAGGCGCAGACCTTGGCCCCGGAGTGCCAGCCGAGTCGCGGTTTTTGCCCCGGGAGAGGAGGCACCTGTGGGCCTGAGCGCGAGTTCGTTTCCCTTACTGAGACTCCCCGGGGCGCCACGGGCGACCAAGCCCGGCCAGCCAAGGGGTCCTTATGGGAGAAGAAGGCGCAATTGAGCCTTCTTAACAACTTGGAGTCTCAGCCGTGCTTCTTCCGGCCGTGCGCGGCTATGCTGTGCCCCGGCCGGTTGTTGATTCGTTTCGAAGTTGGAATCCCGGCCCCCTTTGTATGCCTGCCCCCCCCCCCCCCCCCCGCCATCCCCCTTAGCCATCTGCCACCCATTATGGTCCTGAGAAGAAAACCTTGTAGGTCGTAACTGCGCTCTGGTGCTGGCTTATGTGTTGGAGGCGGGGGCGGCGTGAAACGGGAGGTGGACAAGAGATAAGCAGCCGCTGCCAGACCTATCTCCCAGCTGTTTTCTAGCCTGTTGGCCGACGGTCTCGGGCAGCGATAGCCATCTCCCAACGTGCCCACGCAGATCCTGCCTTCTGAGGAGCAACACATGTCTCATCAAAAACAACCCAATTTCAACTCCCTCAGCCACTGCTCGGGGTCCCTGGCTTTTGAAGGAGGCAGAGGGAGCCTCTGGGGCCCAGAGTGGGGGACACAATGAGTCGCTGTGGATCTGACGATGATGGCAGCCTTCTTGACCTCCAGCTTCAGCTCATAGGTCTCCAGAGGCCCTGTCTGGACATGCCCTCCCCAGTCTCCCTCCTCCTCCTTAAAGTGGGGTGTGCCAAAAGCAATACACTGGCTACTTGGGACTGCCTCAGAGCTATGGGGCTCCCTCCCAACACACACATCCTCCTCTTATAAGGAAGGGGCCGGTCTTTCTCTACTACAGTGACAGGAGGGTTTCAGGAAGGTCCTGGAACTCATGAGAAACTCCATTGCTTACTTAAAATCTCTGGGTTCCTTCCTCTACTCCTGTCCCTTCATCCCCTTCCTCCCTTGTGGTGGCATCCACAGCTCACCCGCTCTAACCGGGGTCATCTCCCTCTTGTCCCGCCTCCGCAGAGCACTACAAACACCACTGGTTTCCTGAAAAGCCGTCCAAGGGCTCCGGTTACCGCTGCATACGTATCAACCACAAGATGGACCCCATCATCAGCAAGGTGGCCAGCCAGATCGGACTCAGCCAGCCCCAGCTGCACCGGCTGCTGCCCAGTGAGCTGACCCTGTGGGTGGACCCCTACGAGGTGTCCTACCGCATTGGGGAGGATGGCTCCATCTGCGTCCTGTACGAGGAAGCCCCAGTGGCTGCGTCCTATGGGCTCCTCACCTGCAAGAACCAAATGATGCTGGGCCGGAGCAGCCCGTCGAAGAACTACGTGATGGCGGTCTCCAGTTAGATCCCCCGCCACCCCCACCAGGCGCTCTGCTGTACTCATTCTGCCGTGACAACAGGCCACCGAATACCTCAACCTGGGGAACTGTATTTTAAATGAAGAGCTATTTATATATATATTATTTTTTTTAAGAAAAGGGGAGGGAAAAAAAACCAAAAGATTTTTTTTTTTTTTTAAAGAAAAATCCTTCAAGGGAGCTGCTCGGAAGTGGCTTCCCCAGGTGCCTTTGGAGAGAACTGTTGTGCGTTGAGTCTGGGAACCAGTGTCTGCCTACAGGAGGGGGGAGGAGGGAAGGGGTGGGCCCGGCTTGAGGGGAGTTGGGAGAAGCTTGGCTGGCACCCCAGGAAGATGGGGGAGGGAGCAAGCAAGGTTAGCAACTGTGAAAGAGAGGTCAGGATCTGCGTTGAGGAGAGAAGAGGGGCTCAGTTCAAACCTCTCACTCTCCCGAGCAGGACACCTGTATCCCTGGCCCCTCTCTTACTCAGGGGCATTCAAGCCTGGACTTAAATTATACTATGTTGCCTAATCTTCTTCCATTTTTCTGATGAGATCCAGGGCAGAGAGTGAAAAGGCCTCTCCCGATTGCTTCTGCCCTAAGCAGCTTTTCTTGAAATCACGACTTGTTTTCTGATTCTATGCTCAGGGGCCTAGTAGATGTTGCTTCCCAGCCAGGAAACAAAAGCTTTTTGTTTGGTGGGGGGCTGGGGGAGTAAGGCAGGAGTTAGAGGTTATTGGGGTTGGGACGGAAGGGTACTCTGCACAAAACCTTTGCTTTTGCTGTGTGCTGCTCTGTGTGTGAGTATGTGTGGTAATTAAGTTGGGGGTGATTGCAATGGAATTTTGGGACCCAAAGAGTAGCCACTGGGGATGTGTTTTTTGGTTTTGTTTTTTGTTTTTTCGTTTTGTCTTGGCCAAAACCCTTCTTTCTGGAACCACAGGAAAGTCCTGATGCTGCTGCTGCCATTATCCCTTCAAGAGTTGGCTCAAAAGCTACAGGGAACTCTAGGTTCTCTATTACTGCCTTCTTTTTAAAAGCACAACACTTCTCCCTAACTCTCCTGTTCTTCTCCCCTTCTGGTTGCGTCATGGAGCTACCCAGTTTTCCAGAACTAGAGCTCTCAACTCATTGTGCAATATGGCCTCCTGGGTCCCAGGAGAGTCTGAAGGAGAACTGGCTCTCAGAACCCCCTGGGGCCCCGGAGGGCTTCGGGAATCCCCTCCCCCACCCCCACCCCCCATCCTGGGGACTCTGGCTGGCTGGTCGGTCGGCCTGGCAGGTATTGCTCGGCCAATGGGAGAATGCCCCAATTTCTGCAGTACTGCTTGGTGTTCTTGTAGGGCTGACACTAAAAGCCTAAATCCTGGGCATTATTTCCTCCCCGGTGCTCAGAGCACCTGTGGGGAGGTTGCTGTCTCTCAGTACAATCCAAATTTGTCTGTAGACTTGTGCAATATTTACTGTTTGGGGTTGGAGCCCATGGAAATCTAACACTGGGACAAAATCTCCTCCCTTCGGTTTTTCAGTGACATTAGTGACGGGTCCTCAGAAGGCCTTGAGTTTCCCAAACTCGAAATCACTTTAGAAGGACGTTGCTAGAGCATCTGGTCTAGCTGGCTACCCTCCTGTCCAGCCCACCTGGCTGTCGTCCCTTAGTGAGGAAGCTTTCTTCCCCACGCGAGCGTCCCCCCAACTCCACTGCCAGTCCCCTCCCTGGATTCCTTAACTACTCAGTTCTGATTCAAAGGTGCTATTTACCAAACACTCCCCCTACCCATTCCACCTGGCCCTGGCTCCTTTTCAACTCTAGACTCCGAGCGGCCTTCCCAGACCCTGCTTCCAGCCTTTACTGCTTTAACGCTAATTTCAGGCCCACAGACCCAAGAGCTGATTTTCTGGCCTGTGGGTTAAGACAAAGCTGTGAATCACTGCACATGGCGTTGTTGCATCTCGTCTGCAAACAGGTCCCTGCCTTTTAAAAAAAAAAAAAAAAAAGAAGCAGCCTCATGGTCTCATACTTGATTTTTTTTCTCTTCTCTCTCTCTTTCTTTCGTTTTTTGTTTTTGTTTTTTTTTTCCTTTGATGTTCACTTTAAAAACATCCAGAGCTGGACTGTTGAGCAGGCCTGTCTCTCCTATTAAGTAAAAATAAATAATAGTAGTACGTTTGTAAGCTATTCTGACAGGAAAGACAAAGGTTACTAATTGTATAATAGTGTTTTTATATGGAAGAATGTACAGCTTTATGGACAAATGTACGCTGTTTTGGGTTACTTTAATAAAATTGTAGCAGATGCAGCCGTGTGGTGCAGAGAAGGCAACATTCCCACCTCACTAAGCGTTCCCCTCAGACATTTCCCTCAAATGCAAGTCCTTGGTGTCTCCTGGTGTTTCTCTTCGGTTATACTTACAGTTATACTCACAAGGCCGATAGCATGTTGGCTGGTATAAAAGAAAGATCAAGTTATGTGACAGCGCCCCAGGAAGTACTCTTTATAAACCTCATCCTTTAATGCATGTTCTCACTTCCCCCTGAAAACACTGGACGGGACGGGGTTCTAGACTGAGCGCTCTTTAGCCGGGTCTCATGCCTCCTGCCCTTGCTAGGCTTCAGCCATGCCCCCTTGTTTGTTCATGCAGCAAGCACGTACTGTCCGTAAGTGCGAGGCACTGAAAATAGTACAAATGATGAAGCCTCACAGCCTGAGTCTCAGACTGAGAAGGGCACTGAATCCCTTCCCAGGCTGAGGCAGGATTGTTGGAGAGTTCCTGGCACAGGCTCACTTGTCATCTCTGGGACTGCCCTTTGGTACCCACCATTCTTTTTTTTTTTTTTTAATGTTTATTTTTGAGAGACAGAGACAGAACATGAGTGGGGGAGGGCCAGAGAAAGAGAGGGAGACACAGAATCCAAAGTAGGCTCTAGATTCTGAATTGTCAGCACAGAGCCCGATGCACAGGCCCAAACTCACCAACCGCAAGATCATGACCTGAGCCAAAGTCGGTTGCTTAACCGACTGACCCACCCAGGAACCCATCTTTTTTTAAAAATGTTTATTTATTTTGAGAAAGCGTGTGAGCAGGGGAGGTGAGAGACGGAGAGAGAGAATCCCAAGCAGGCTCCATGCTCAGCATGGAGCCCCACACAGGGCTCCATTCCATGAACCATGAGATCATGATCTGAGCTCAAATCAAGAAATCGGACACAACCAATTAAGCCCCTCAGGTGCCCCAGGACCCACCATTATTAGACAAGAGCAGTTGGGCACTGGAGCCAGATGTATAACTGAAAGCCAAGGCTACCAGTTAGCTCAATAGCCGCTACTTTTGACAGCAAAGGTTAGAGAGCCAAAGGTTTGTTACCAATGTATTACTCCCTTTATCTGGATAGGATGTATGTGAGGAAATAAGAACAGCGTGTATCATCCCTGACTCTTGGGTTCTGTCCATGAGGTTTGAACACAGTCTTCCGCACGCCCCTGCCCCACTTGCTGGCTTGGCAATTTCTGCTGAGGTCACAAGCACATCGCCGACCTGGGCTAGTTTTTTCTTGGCCAGAGGTGGGCTGTATTTAAACTAAATTGTAAACACCTCGATTCAAGAACAGAATCACCCCTCGCCAATATACACACTTCATTTCATGCCTCCGTGGCCCTCATGAACAAACATGCAGATTGACCTGGGTGTCCTGGCTGGTAGGTAGGCCAGAGAGGCTGAGTGCGGTGCACTGGAGGGTAGATGAGGCAGGAAATGGGGCTTGGGGAGGCCAGCCCATCTGTATCACCAATAGAATTAGTGACAGGGAACGACTTATGCCCAGAGCTTATTTGAGGGAATGGTCCCATTTTCACCTGTAGCTTCTATCACAAATGTCGTAGGCACTCATTCGTAAGGACCTGCCTTTTTGGGGTGTAAGGATGGAGTTCGGGCTGAATTTTTGCCCATCCTGGTGTACTATTCTTACCAGCACCTCCTTCTTCTTTCCTAAGAGGCTCCACTCATGACGGATATTTCATTGTTTTCATATTGTTTAGTAAAAAGCCTGAAAGAGAGGGTTAATGGAGGCCGAGGGGACATCATCACCCACCTCGGTCTCTGAGCCAGGCCGACTGCAGAACAGCAGGTTGACTTGGGGATGGTTCTCGGCTCCTGGTAGGCTAACAGCCCCTCAATTTACATGGGGGGGGGTCCTGTGATCCTGCAGTGTGTTGCTTACTTTAGATCTGGCCAGTTTCAGTAGTGGTGGAGAGCACCGCTTGGCCAGCTGGGGGTACGGAGGCTGTGGGCAGAAACAGTTTGAGGAGTAGCAGCTGGTGGCTTTCATGTGTTCAAGGACTGGGCACTGGTTGGTCCATTCTGCTCCCAACTTCCCCGCTCGGTATCCTGTGCCAGCCTGGGAGACCTGGGCTCCGTCAGCTGTTTCTGGATGATAACACGCTGTCCAGAGAGTGTAGACGTGGCCTGGAGCTGCAGATTAAGAGCCCATCCCAGTTCCTGATAAGGAGGTTTGGGTGGGGGAGACCTGGATGTTTCAACCAGCAAGCCCGGGGGCAAGAAACCCTCCTCTGTGAGTCCGACATCGGCCCCATAGCGGCCTTCCGTGAGCAAAGATAGCAAGGACTCCTGGCTTCCAGGCCAGTACTGGCACCGAGGCCCAGCAAAGCAGGATGCAGTAGAAGGAATTCTGGGCTGGGAGGAAGAATATATGGGTTGGGTCCAGGTTCTTCCTAACTAGGGTCCAGGTTCTTCCTAACTAGATGTGGGAGTTTGGTCAAGCCCCTCAATTTTCCTGTCTCAGAAATTAGGGAGTTGGATGAAATGACCTCTGTTCCTTTCTTCAGCTTTTGATTCTAAATCATCTCCGTTATCCTGGCAGTCACCGGAGGGCAAATTAGGACAATTATTATCACTATTTTCAATTAGTTGAACTGGAAGGTCATTTGAGTTGGGAAGGGAAGTAATAGTCTTCCCTTGCTTGAGTCTGACTCCTGCCAGATAAGGTTTCCATTTCCAAGCCCAGTGGGGTAGGGCCGGTCTCCACTCTACCACCTACTTCCTATATGCAACCTGGAGCAAGTTACTTCAACCAGGCCTCCATTTCCCCACTTGTAAAATGGGACTAAGAATAGAACCCATCTTGGGGCACCTGGGTGGCTCAGTCAGTTAAGCTCTGACTCTTGATTTCAGCTCAGGTCATGATCTCATGGCTCGTGAGATCATGCCCCGAACTGAGCTCTGCAGCTGACAGCAGGGAGCCTGCCTGAGATTCTCTCTCTCTCTCTCTCTCTCTCTCTCTCATTCTCTCTCTCTCAGAATAGAACCCATCTCAAAATGTTAGGGAGGATGAAATGAAATACAAACCACTTAGCATAGTGCTTTGCATATTTGAGTATGTGACAAATGAAAATCATAATTTTGAGCAGAAGTTAACCTGAATTGGTCCTGAGATGAATAAGGACACTGACATTCAGGTAACTGGGAGGAAACCATCATTTAAGTTCTAGTTCCACCAGCGCCTCCAAGAATGGCTGTAGCCAACAACATCCAAGCAGCCTGCGACCTCCCCATTGAAAGACGATTTTCAACCCTTTGCTTAAAAGTCTCTACAGTCCAAGGGGTAGCTGACTGGCTCAGTCAGTAGAGCATACGACTCTTGATCTCAGGGTCATGAGTTCAAGCCCCACATTGGGCAGGGAACCTACTTAAAATCAAATCAAAACAAAACAAAAATTCTTCACAGTCCAAAGAGCCCTTCCTGGCATCAGCTAGCCTGTGGCAGGTACGCTGTAGGAACCTGCAGAATGAATGAACACACTCAAGTCTGATCTTGGCCATTCTGGCTGAAATGTACCATGTGCTCGCCAGACATCTGATCTCATTGGCTGGAGGGGAGCTTTGACCTCTTGGCTCCATGGTCTGCTTGTAAATTAATACCAAACTGGACTACGTGCTCATTCACACACAGAGTGGGTGGGGAAACGGATTTTCCAATGTCACCTTTGCTTACCTCCTTCTTGCTCACCTGTGGCATCACGTTCTCCCTTCTAGGAAGAGAGAGAAATGGGGAAACTGAGAAGGAAGGGCAAGCCTGGTGAGTTCTGGCTTTCTCTCTGCACCACGTCTTTGCAGAGCTGGTATGAAAACCGTTTGAACTCAGTCTAAGAGGCCACCAGGGCCTTGGATAATGATCTTATACAAACAAGCATGGCCCAGGTGTGCTACCCGTGCTTTCCCTTGCTTTGAGAGGGGCCTTGTTCTCTGGGAACCCACCAGCTCCACGTCATTTTGCTCCCAGCTGAAGTGGCTCTCCTACTCCCCACCCCTGTTCCCATAAACAAGGGCAGGCCTTACTCACCCCTTGTAGAGCAGACCTGACAGGCTGCCCAGGGCACATCAGATAAGAAGAGGTTATAGCTGGGCAGGTTGGGGCTACTTTATTTACCAGCACCAGCAAGGAGGGGCCATTTAAAGTTCAGTGAGCACCAGAGGAGTCAAGTAAGGCCAGCTGTCAGTGAAGGAGAACAGCCACACAGAGGCTGTGGTGAACTTGGAGAGGGAGTTCAGGATTTGTCTGAAAAGGACCCTACTCCTTAGCACTAGTCCACTGTCCTCCTGGGAGACCAGTGATACCAGATACTGTGATTTTTCAAGAGAAACCTGAAATACAGACCTTTATTTCGCATCTCCCGAAATTCTAATGATGGCCACTGATTTTTTTTTTAAGTGTTTAACTGCTTTTAAGCACTTATTTGCATAGGCTCTCAGTTGGTGACTCATGATGCGCCTTGGGACCACCTGGGAATGGGGATGTAGGGCTTTCCGACCCCATCCCCCATACTCGGAGTGAGGCTCTGCACTGAGGACGTCAATGGCACACTGTTACCATGGCTGTGATCTCTTGAAGGCACATCCCAGCATGTTCCTGACAGAACAGAGAGCACACTTGGGGCTCGTGCTTCCCCTCCAAGGATTATACTAGAAGCAGCTTTGCCCATCCTCAACTGGTGCCCATTAACTCATGCCTGGGACTGTGGCTTCTGGCCTTTGCTCAATGCTCTGCCCCCTCCTACCTACCCACTTTTGTCTGGTTAACTCTGGTCCCTCAAGATTCAGACCTTCTCTTCCAGCTTTTCGGTGACACTGTTCCTTCCCATGTTACTCAGTCTTCTTCTGTCCTAGTCCTTATAACCCTGATTTTTTTTTTAAACAAGGATTTTGTTTTTAAGTTTATTCACCTATTTTGAGAGTAGGGGCAGAGAGAGAGAGAGAATCCCAAGCAGGCTCTGCACTGTCAGCAC